GTATCATGATTCCCTTCTTTAAGAGCTAAGTTTCTTGCAGAGGTGGTGAACAGCTGCATTTTACATGAGGCTGCCTACAAAGCAAGGTCTCACCCATGCTCACCTGGATAGCAGGTGCTGTAGTCAGCATATCTACTAGGGACCCAGGTGAAAACTTTGGTCTCATCTCACTACTTGCCATTCCATGTGGAAAGGTGCATGACAATAAATGAATATAAGTCAGGACAATATGGTCAGGCCATAAACCTGGTCCCTGAATCTGCATAGGCCTCTGGGCATTGTCAATGCCTTGTGCTCACAAAGCTCCTGGAGAACTTAATTTTCTCTGCATATCAGATTTTCGCTTCTTTCATTTTATTTTCAAATGTCTAAGTGAAATTCTTTACTGAAATAGACTGAGAATCTCTCAAAACTTATTCCTGTATATGAAATAAATGACTCTCCCTGTGGGAAGGAAATCCAAGTTTAATCCCAGCAGCTCACTTAAGAATCACTCACTTTTCCAAGTTTTCCAACTTCTTAGTCTTCATTTCAGGGGGTAAAAAATATGTTTTCTTGAGGACAAATACAAAATTGCATTGTAAACTTGTGTGCTATGAACTGAATTCAGCCCTCAAATAYGTTTTTTTTTAAATTGAGTTAAAAAACTATGAGTTAAAACTATAATTGAGTTAAAACTATGGAAACTATTAATTATGTTAAAATCTGAATCATTCCATTTATTCTAATTCTCTTTGAAAAGCTGGCAATCTGGACCAACTTCATCCATGTTGGTTAAATGAGCATCCAGATTATATTTTCATGTGGTTACCATGAGCCAGCGATGGCTTTTTTTTTTTTTTTTTTTTTTTTTTTACCTCTTGAAGCAACAAAGAACAAGAAGACTCAGGAGTCTTCCTGTGGGGTGGTAGGCAGGAGTTCTAGAATTCCTATGACCAGATGGTTTTCATAGTTTGATGGAGAAGTGGCTACTGGCTTCTCTGGGGTGCATGCCATGGGTACTATCTGGTATAAAACAACAGCAGTAGTGCTGAGGCTGATAGCCATTTYCCACCCGGTACTGGTRATGGAACCCCGGGCCTCACACTTGCTAGGCAAGCACTCTACCACTGAGCTACATCCCCAGCCCCCATTCCCTGCTTGAAAGAGTGATTTTGTTAATAAAAGCAAAGAAGAATTCATGGCTGAGGCTGTGCTAATAGTCAGAATGTGTCTTTGCTTCCTGTCCTAAAGTTAACTGAAAGTAAGCAGCATTTATGACTCTGACTACTGCAGGAAGCAGGGAATGGATTACTGTAGTTAGTGACAAAAACAATCATAAATGGCTTTGCCTGTCTTGTCTCTTTTCTGAGTCAGAGGGAATGAAATGACCAGTAATTATCATTTAAACTGCTGTTTTATCCTGTATCAATCAGAGCTRTTCATTCTGGTTACTCATGGACTCTGGGGCTGAAACCACACTAAATCAGGGTCACAGTCAGAGCCAATGCATAAGGCCAGCCTTTTTACTCTGTTAAGTGTTAATGACCTGGGCTGAACATCAATGGCAAGTTTCCATGAAAAAGCCATCTGAGACTCTAATCTAGGAATAAATGGTTCTATATGGAGCCTATTACCTTGTTTTTAATATTCTGTATTCAATGGGACCACAGCTGTAAACAACTCTTCACTCTCATTTCTCCATGAAGTTAATTTGCACTGTGTCAGCACTGCAGGCTTTTTGCATATGTTCAGGACAAGCTGATATGAGCAGGCCTGGAATGAATAATGTTTAGTAAAATCAATAAACCCTATTATTAGTCACTAAGGGGACTGATTTTATGTCTATAAAAGTAAAACAATTAGAAGCGTATTAATGGCAGATTCATCATAGTAATATAATGGAGCCAAGTACGCTTGTCTTTTGGGAATCTTTAATTTACCATTTGGTACTGACTCTATACTCAGCCAGAGAAATGGCACACATAATATAAACAAGCTCTGGCCTTTGGCAATTCATGTTGTCATCAGCAAAGATAACACTGTAATAGTGCAGAGAAGAAACAAAACTTCATTTAGTGATTAATGTAAACCAGTCATGAATAATGTTCCAGTAAAAGCCTAGGGGGAAAACTATTCAAATCACATTGTGCTTTTTGGTCATGTATCTCTCTGCATTTATCAGCATCCCCGTTTATTACAGTAGCAGAGTTAAGCATGGTCTAATGCACCTATTTATAATCCTATCTATTTAACCACCTAACTAGAAGTGATTAAAAGCCTGGTATGTAATAAAAATACACATCCAGTCATTCTGCAGCGGAAAAGTATGATTGGCTTCGGTGCATATGCATGTATGAAAACAGGGAAATCATCAGGAATCCACAGTTCACCCAGTTACCAACAGGAACATGATGATTCATTGGGGGAAGATGTAGTTGACCTTAGTTCTGCTCCTGTGTTTCTGCAATTAAGGGGTTGGTCAGAGACTGAAGAAGCCTAAAGACTACAGACAGAGTCACACATTATAAATGGTATTCTAAACAGAGGAAACATACTTGTTAAGCTGTATAAAACAAATTTTAAAAAGTCCTGAAGAATATATCAAGATGTGGTTTAAGAACTGAAAAAAAAAAAAAAACATGGGGGGGGGTTGGGTTGTGGCTCAGTGGTAGTCACCTAGCACATGTGAGGCACTGGGTTAAATCCTCAGCACCACATTTGAAAAATGAAATAACGATATCGTGTCCACCTACAACTAAAAAAATACATATTTTTTTTTAAAAATTTGATAGTTTAAAAAAAGATGAAAAATATGTGAAGTGCTCTTAGTGTATGAGTAAATAGCATAAACAATGTTTTTTTTATAAATGATGATATAAAGGAAACTCAAAAACAAACTGAAAGTTAGAAAAAAAATATATTTTCCTACTAAAATCTATGAGGTATAACATAGAGTGGATTTGTAAAGCTAGAAGAAGCAAATGCCAATACTTTAAGGTAGCTTTTCAAAAGCAGAGGAAACATCTCTTTTCAATTGCAAATATCAATTCATTTGTGAAGCAAAGACCTTTAAAGAATAACTAACCAAAGTATAGGACAACACATTCTGTCAACTTAAAGAACTTTTTAGTAAACCAAGCAGTAGAACTGTCATTAGCAATTATAATAGCCATAAACACTTAGAGCTTACAGCTGGAATGAACCAATGAAATCAACTGTCCAAACCCACAGAGCACACTCCCATTGAAGGACCGACTTCTGCACTTGGTTTTCCATCTTGCTGCACTGCTTTTCCTCCAGTAGTGTGCAGGGACCCCCTTTGTCATCCCTTTAGTGAAGTCTTCTCAGGCTCTATTCATCCAGACTCCCACATCTACTCACCAACCCCCACCCACCATCCTCATTTGTTATTCACAGCATTTATCCACTGCCTAACTTTGCATAGTGTGTGTGTATGTGTATATATATATATATAATATATATATAATATATATATAATATATATATAATATGTTTACCCTACTCATTAGAAAATGCAAGCTCTATGAGGACAGGAATTTTTGTTGCTTTGTTCATTGCAACATATCCCAGCACCCTGTGCAATGCCTAGAATAGAACAGGTGTGCAATAGCTATTTGTTGTGTGGAAAGAAAGGAGGGAGGGAGGGATCGAGAAAGGGAAGCAAAGAAGAAAAAGGGAGGAAACCATTAAAATTTGGTATAAAACATTCTAGTAAATCAATTTAGGGACAGTTTTTTTACATGTTTTATCTACTATCCACATGTCATAAAATTTACATCTTTGGAATAATATTCCCTGMTAAAGAAACCTGTACCTACAGGTTTGTAGTGATACATCCCAAATTTGAAATAAATACCCCACCATAAGTTTGTATATATTCACTGAATGAAATACAGTTTGTTTACTATGCCTGTGTATCGCATAAGAAAATTTTTCTTTGCTTTGTGTCTCATATACTCATAGTATTAGGAAAGCTTTCTTCAAAAGTCAGCCATCACTAACAGCCAGCAAGAAATAACACGAGACAGACAAGAAGACATTATTAAAAAAAAAAACAAAACCTTTTTAATTCTGATTGCCAAATTATTTAAGGCAGGTATAAAAAAGGAAAGCATTCAATATACATTTTACATAAAATAAACTAGATTACAGCATAAAACAAGTAACCAGGCAATGGCGTTAAAGTCTCTCTTCTAAAACTGGATAATTGTAAACATTAAAAAAAAAAAAAAAGAAAAAAAAAAGAAAAAGAAAAAGAGGAAGAAGAAGAAAAAAGGACTGCAGGATTATTCAAGTAATAGAACAATCACAGATGTCTCTGGTATGCAGGCTATTGGGTTATTTGCCATTCAAGATTATCAAAAAATGACACCTCATTATTCACAGATGCTCATTATTTCCCCGTTTTAATCTTTACATTATATACAACACAGTTTTTGTGGTACTGGCAACCCCATGCCTTCCAAAAGTTTTTTTTTCTTTTTTTTTTTCCACAATACACAAGTACAAACAGTGACTACAGGAACATTTTACACTGATGCGTCTTTAACAGGAGCCACCAATTAGACATCTAAATTGTACCAAAGTGTCATCATCACAGTTTGCCTTTCTGAGGGGCTTACAGGAAATATATGAAGGATATGCAAGGTTCAGGCACACTGATACATAACATTATTTATTTACAATTTCAAAGGAAAGAAAAAGAAAGTAAGCAGCCTTTCGTGGCTAACACTTTTCAACGTGACAAATACATTTTTTTATTTCCTTTACTGAGTGGTTTGCGACTTGGCAGCAGACCCTGTGTGTGCGAGCCTGGTTACTGATACAAAAAGTAAAGAATATATATATATATATATATATATGTATATATATATATATGTATATGTATATATACAGATATGTATACGTATATATATATATAAAACAGAAGTTTAATTACAGCAACATTTGTTACTCTGTGATAAAATCTGTAATTTACAAAAATGAAATGACTGGTTTTTGCCTGCCATTAAGGCATTTCAAATTAACACCATGGAACTGATGTCTGTATAAAGCGCTTCCCCATGTGATCCAGTCACATGACACCGTACACTTCCAATCCTGTTATTCTCTGCAAAAGAAAAGCATATATTAGCATAGAGTTCAACCAACATTTGACACTTAAAACCTAAAAATATTGAAACTTAGAGTCTATTCCATTTATGGGATTCAATTCCAGAAAAAAGCAAATAAAAAGCAAGCTATACAGTACATTTTGTGAAAAAAAAAAATGTTCATTTTATATTAGTCATGAAATTCCCTTAAACTATTTTCCTTCTTAAAATAACTTGAGGGGTGATTAAAAATCACAGAAGAAACATTTAGCATTAGGATAATATAGTTTTCTATTTGCAATTTTATTTTTAAATATGAGAAAACAACTGTCATTTTAACAAAGTTGTGAGGATAAACTAAGAAAATTTCAACTGCCTAAGAACCAATCAACTCTTTACCAATCCATCTTAGGTTTATAAAATGAAGTTCCTGGAGCCTAAGTTGTACCAGGAATCTACTAGCTGAATAAACCCATTTATTACAAGGATTAAAAAACAAAAAACAGGGAGTTGTTTTCATCTGAAAAGCCTGGACTTGCTTCCTCAAAAACATTAAAATGTCTCTCTGCCTAGAAAAATAATTGCAAACATAAAGGATATTTACCTTCTTTGTGCAGGAAACATTCCTGATGCAGATGCCTGGGCAGCCACCTGCTGAGAGGCAACGAGGGCAGCAGAGGTCAAGCCTGCTGGGCGAAAAAATGTGGGGTCTCCGTGACATTTAGAAAGATAAGAGTAGATACAGGCCCAGTGGCAAAGGCTGCAGACCCAGTAGCAGCAATTTGTTCTTTCCTAAACACACACATGAAGTGTTTCATGCAGCAAGGACAGAGTAGAAGCCACTTGGTCTAACCCAAATCTATCCCTTTATTGAATCCTCTGTGGTTTCCTTAATAGCTATTGGAGGAYAGACATTCCATCTCCCCAGCTCTGCATGGCGCTAAATGGTTTGCATGGGTCCTGGAATAGGAAGCTCAGGAGAAATAATAGGGACCAAGTGACAATAGGAATCAAAAGTCACATTGAACTATAGAAAAGTCATGCTACTTGCTTCCTTAGAATATGATACTTTATAATAACTTTAATCACTTTTACAYTCTTCCCAGTGATTTGCCGTAATCCATCCTACAAAGTACATGATTCAGTAAATCAAATTTAGAAGTTGTTAGTCTTAATCCATAAGACAAAGGTAGCAGAGACCATAACAGCTCCAAAAGGTATTAAGTAGCCTAACCCAGGTTCTTCTAAATTCTACAGAAAACTGTCCCGGGCAAAATGAGAGTAAACAAAGTAAACCTTAGGAAGATTACTCTCTCCTTTTGTGTACTTTGTTTGGACATGTTTTCCTTGCCCAAAGATAATTTAGGACATTACAATAACAGTGACAATAATAACATAGAGAAAGTGACAGCATATTCACTCATATAGATGTGATGTGTTAGAAACAAAATCCCTTTCTCTTCCAAGTTCTTATCACACTCAATACAAGATGTTTAGGAAACCGAGATGTTCTCATTTAACACCACTGCTTGACACCAAGCAATGAGAGCTGAATAAATAAAGAGTGGTCCCTTTACATTTATAAACATATTATTTTACATGTATATAGCAGGTAACATGCAACTTGGTCGTTGTTAATGACTGAATTCTATCCTCCTAAAATTCCTATGTTGAAGCCTGAACCCACAATTTGCCTGTGTTTGGAAACAGGGCCTAGTTGGAGGTGACAAAAGTAAAATAAAGTCCTAAGGGCCTCATCCTAACATGGCATTAGTGTCCTTGTAAGAATAGACACCTGAATGCTTGCCTCTGGCCAGTGGAGTGGCCATGTGGTATAAGCCAGTAAGAGACTCTCACCAAAAACCCAACAAGATCTCCAATGCCTAGCCCTAGACCTATGAGAAAACAAGTGTCTGCTCTTTAAGTCCATGCAATCTATGGTATGTCATAAATGACAATCTGAGCTGACAAGACAGCCAGACCCTAGGAGAGTGGATTTGTTGGTAAAGACTGTGAACAACCTCCTCTGAGAGACAGAGATAGTAAAACAGACTGAATATGAAGGGCCCTCTGAACTGAGAACCACATCCTGCAGCTAAGAATGGAGGCTGAAGGGCTCTCCCTGTGGCCTAGTACACCAAGGAGGCTGAAAGTGGAGACTGCCCGCTCTCCAGGCCTGTGCCGCACAGACTAACTAAATCTATGTCTGCTTCCTTCCTTTTGTCCCATTTTGCTGCCTCAAAGCCTTCCCTAGTGTTCAGAGATTCTGAAGATGGAGCTTTCTGAAACAATACTTTTTTTTTTTTTTCCTATCTTCCTTCAAAGCTGGCTTTGAAGAAAACCTCTTTTTCCTACCAATTTGACTCTAAACATTTCTGGAGCAATGAGTGCTGCAGCCTAGCCTCTTCCTCCAGGGCAGTACTGGTGCCCACTGATAACAATGGGAGAAATAATAACATGCTCAACAAATACCCCCTGGACTGATGGTTTCACTGTGTCAATTCTGTGGCTCTTTGCTATGCTATGTGAATGAATAACTATTCCACAGTGGATTCCACATTCATGTATATCGTTAAAGCATCAATTAAAAATAAATGAGTGAAAGAAAAAGCAGTAGGGTAGAGAAAGAGGAAAAGGGGGAGGGAGGAGGAGAGGGAAAGGGGGAAGGTATCACCAGGGATTGAAATGGAGTAAATTAAATTCTATGCATGTATGATTTTGTCAAAATGAACCCAATTATTATGTATAACTATAGAGCACTAATAAAACAAAAAAACAAAACAAAACAAAACCCTTTTTCTCAATCCTCATCTTTGATCAGAGTCATAGCGTGAAGGATTGTGAAGAGCCCTTAAGTTCCACTATAAAATGTTAAACTTAGTCACCTCACTCCCATTACTTGCATGGGAAAAGAGCAACTTAAAGGGCCTACAGATATCAGGACAAAAAAACTTCACCAAAGCCTCTCACTATCCCTCATTTTCTTTCCAATTTCCCTGAAGTCGGTATCTGATCTTCTGATTGTTATATTCAGTGCCCCAGACACTGGCCGCCACCCTCAGCCTGGGAGATAACAGTAAGCCTCCGATAACATCAACCAGTGACAATTATTAACTGGTAGCCATTTCATGTCTCAATAGAATACAAAGATGTGGGAACAGCCTTAGCTGTGTCCGTAGGAAATGCTAGGAAATAAGTGTTAAGAATCCTCCCCAGAGCTAACGTTAATTCAAAGTTCAATGTTTTTATTTTAAAACCGAGACAGGTAGTTTCTAGCAACTGTTTTCCAAAACACACTGAAAAAAGACACAGTAATGATGGAGCTGCTGACCTTGGAAAGGATCATATTGACCAGGGATTAGCGGATAACCCATGCCAACGTGGGTGTGGTGATGCGTGTGTAGGTGCCGCTGGCCAAAGGGYGAGTGTCGGTCCCGTTCCCTTTCTGCCTCTCGTTCCCGCTCAGCTGTGGCCTTTTCCACAGGCTGAAATAGAACAGAGAAATTTCCCCACTTCATGTTTCAAAATATAACAAGAAAGCATACCATACCACCTGCACCCCTTCAGCAATATTGTGTTACAGGTAGATATATAGATACTGAAAATTCTGTATTAATCAAAGATGATTTCAAAAGACATGCATTAGTTTCCACTGCCATTGAGACAACAATAAAGAACTGCTCCACCCATGGTAAGCTGAGTAGCATCAATATTTTCTTCAAATGACTGATAATTTCAGTCATCCAATCTACCTGTCTTCCCACAATAATTTTTATAAACAGATCAAGGAAAAGAAGTAGTTTTGGAGATCTATTTCAGGTCATATTTTCTAGTTATATTTTTTGTATACTTCATAGGGAGACTCTATCTCATAGTTTAAAACAACTGTATCCATTTGGTTCCACTGAAAATACACATCCAGATATCGTATGTCAATATACAAGTAAATACAGTCGGCTCTCCATAATCATGGGTTCCATCCAGCGATTCAGTCAAATTTCAATCAAACATTTTTAAAATTCATTGTATTAAATATACACAGACTTGCCATTATTCCCTAAACAACACAGCCTAATAACTGTTTACATAGCATTTATATTGTATAGATATTAGATATTATAGGCCATCTAGAGCTGACTTAAAAGCACACAAGAGGATGCGCCAATGTCTACAAACACTATGCCATTTTATATAAAGAACCTCATTCAGCATCTAGGGATTTTGTTACCCCTGTGGGTCTGCAACCACTCTCCAAAGACTCTAAGGGACTGCCGTCTAGGAATCCATCATCCTGTTCTCACATTCTGAAATATCCTTCTCAATTTCTGAACATTCATAAAGAAACTCCAGTTCTCCCAAATAAAAGTTTGATTAAAGATTTGTTTCCTGCACATTTCTATTCTAGAACCTAAGCACCCTTTCACTAAAGTTCTCTTTCTCACTTGGAAAAAAAAAATCTAGAAGGAAGATTATCAAAAAAGGATTCATAATTCACCTTTTTAATTTCTCCATACAGTGTCTGACAGACTTGCAGATACTAGACTTTAAACTTCTTTTTTCCCACCCAAAAACTATCATTTCCTTTCTGAGTCTCTTTTTCAACAGTCTCCAGGACTAGAAGTTGCCTTTTTTAGGTGAGAGTCTCTTTCACAAAGACATTTATTTGTATTACTTCAGGGAGTTATAGGAACGTGACAATGAATCAAGGTAAAAAAAAACCCCAGCAGATGCAGCCCTCACTCATTAGCCAAGGGACTCACACTTGCATATGAGCTTCACACTGTGCGAGACTCAAATATGTGTTTGAATAAAAGTAACAGTTATTACGCGTCATGGACCATCAGTATTGCTCAGAATGAGCCATGAACGCTGACCATGTGGATGCCAAAGATCCACAGAAGGAGTCAGAAGCTCAAATCTCTACAGAAATAATTAGGCTAAAACCAAATTTGATTGATAGAGAATTGATAGATTTCATTTACATACATTGAGGGGGAGCAGGGCATACAGTCTCCATGGGGCTACTTTTCCCATGTGATTTTGGACCAGATTTTCCATAGTCTTAAGAGGGCATCTGAAAAATGTATGCGAAAACTCTGATTTTTGAAAGTTGTGCCCAAAGAAAACATTTTTCAAAAGTTCAGTTTGGCTGGGCATGGTAAACCACACCTATAATCTCAGCTGCATGGGAAGCTGAGGCAAGAAGATCACAAGTTTGAGGCCAGCCTTGACAATGTACCAAGACCCTATCTCAAAATAAAAACATAAAAAGGGCTGGGATAATGTAAGTGTCCCTGGTTCAATCCCAGGTACCAAAACAAACAAACCCTTCCATTTGCCCAATGGGTCAAAGGCCTGTGGTTTGAAGTACTTAGTTACAAAGCTATTCTGAAATAGCACCCTCCGTTATTTTTTTTTTTAATATTTTATCAGTAATACTTTGCACCAATGCCCAGGTCCTATGAATTTAAAAGTATACCCAACAAAAAGCTCACTACCACCATACCTGCTTCAACAATACCTGTCCCTTCTGTATGAAAACATCTGACTTTTGAACACTCTATTCTTTATGTACCAAGGATAAAGCAGCATCCTGAAATCACAACTAGATTCCAAAACCGTTTCTATTTCAAGACTGTTCTCTAGCTTGTTCCCCCTTTCTACCCCAAAACACAGTCCTTATAAATGGCAACAAAAGCAGACTTACGGCAGGAGACTTGCTGCGGTATTGGTTGGCATGCTGCTGGAGCAAATCCAGTGCTTTAGATTCAGTGGTTGTTTTCGTGTTGATGCTGGGGCTGGTATTGACTTTCTCTGCCTCTTCTCTCCCTGACATCTTCCCATAAACAGGATAATGAAATCCTGGAGAGAGATAGGCCCCTGCAGATAAACGACAAATGCCACATGAAGTTACAAGCTAGTCTCTGAAAAAAAAAAAATGTCATTTGTGTTATATGAATTTGGGAAAAGAGTCAGAGATCTTAAAATAAGGGGTTACATTAAGAATGGACTACATCATTGTTAAACTGTATCGAGGTTCTCTGATTTTTCTTCTGCAGTTAATTCATCCTGATGAACAGAGGTTATAAACAAAATTGAGCTTCCAGCCACTTCATGCATTTATGTGTCTGCTTAAGTGAAAGGAATAGTAACTATAATGATTATGACAGTAAGTGCTTAGAATATTTTCATAGGCAATAAAGTAACTGTCAGTCTAACAGCAGACCATCAGAGACTATGGAAGATATAGCGGAAGACTCTTGACATTTCATTTTTTTTAATAAAATTTTATATTTAAATCAGTTACAGCTTTAGGACTTTAAGCAATTAAAAAAAAACAAGCAAAACAAATGTCACTCTTGAAGCTTCTAATTTATCTTGAGTTTTTAATAGCTCATGTGTGAATAGAGCCTCTTCCCTCCAACATACTTAGAACCCAAAACATGTCACGTACCAGGGTAACTGTGCATTAGGACAGGAGAAACAGCCCGGTATGCAGGGTGGCTGGGGTCATACATCTGTGGGTAAGGATAAGCATGCAAGTACTGTATGTACGACTGATGCTGACTCATGGGTGAGGACACAGCCACTCTCGTCCCCCGAGAGTCCTTCCAATTCACAGGTGTTTTCCGATCATCATTTTTCAACTTATTCTCTTCCATTGATTGAGAGTCAGGACGCTTGGCCTCTTTGGGCTCCTCTTTAATGCTTGTTAATGATACAGGAAGGCTGGGCACACCACTCTCCTTGTTAGGAGTTTTCCTAGGACTATCCTCTTTTAATTTCTTCTCTCTCTCAAGTTCTTCTGACTTTTGTTGATCCAGATATTTGGGTTGGTACACATAATGATGCCATGTCCTTGAATCTGGATCCTAATTAAAAAAAAAAAAAAGTTTTGTTCACTTTTTAAGAAAACCCATTAATCACTATGGCAGCACTATTACTGTTACCTCCCATACTGAGTTAACATTTACGTATGTACCAGACAATGTGTTACTCTCCTCCTTCTGTCATAACTTAGTAATATCTGGGGTTATTCATGATCCTTTATGGATAAAATAAAGCCAAAGCTTTTAAAATTCAGGTAACACCAAGGTCACATGGCTGCCCAGTTGTGGGTCAGGGCTTCAAACTCAGGTCTGTTGGAATTTGAGGGTGGGCCTTTAAAATATAATTTGTCAACATTAAATAATACCCTCAGATATATTTAATCCAATCCTCATTTTCCTTTTAATATCTCACACAGGTAAAAAAAATTATTTTAAAAATTCAAGCTAGTAATAGTAGATTTAAGTAATTACTATAGATATTAACATCATTTAGGAGGAAGAGAACTCTTGGTTTCCTAATATACTTTCTTCACCTACCACAGCTGAGGCTTCATATACTGGAACTTCTCATTATGTGCTAATGTCTTAATCAAAACAAAATTTCAAAGTCACAGCACACATTATGGCTTCTCTATTATAAAATAAAGCCATCTATAAGATCCCTAAATTGTATTATTCTAATGCAGCCTGTGAAGCAACAGCCTGATTTTTTAGGCCTCTGGAAGAGGGAAAACTAAAAATCCTAATGACCTTTGCGATCGCCATCCCATTCATGATATAAACCCATTGGGTATTCAGATCCTGGGCGAACAATCCAAGTTAAGACCACCTCCCAACTCTGCAGAAATGGGCATGGGGAAAGGTTTCTCATTCTGATTCACCAGGGACTGTCTAAGCATAGGCACTGGGGGATTGGTGCTGGGAAATACCAGAATTAATGCTCCCAGGACTGCAGTGAGTCAGGATATCTGAACCATGACAGAAAGTGCTAGCACACGTGTGGTTTCATGGTGACCAGTTGTCAGTTGTTCTTAGGCTGGCTGACTGTTCTTTGGGATGACTGCTGAGACTCATCACCCAAACCTCCTCACCTTCTTCACAAACCTCAGCACTGAGCTCTGCTTTGGGCACTTAACACAGAATGTAAAACAGAAATCCAGGCATCTCAGGCCCTAGGTGAAATACATCTGAGTCCTCAATTGTATTAAAAAGATGAATGGGAAACGGCACTTAGGTGCCCAATGAGTTTTGTTTTTTGTTTTGGGAGGTACTGGGGATTTAACCAAGGGCAATTTACCACTGAGCTACATACCCAGCGCTTTTTTATGGTTTATTTTGAGACAAGGTCTCAGTAAGTTGCTTAGGGCTTTGCTAAATTGCTGAGTCTGGTCTTAAACTTGCAATCCTCCTGTCTCAGCCTCCCCAGACACTGGGATTACAGGCATGCACCACCACAACTGGCTGTGCCCAGTTTTAATATTCTGAGAAAATGCTACAGAAAATTGGAAATATATAAGAACAAGTACTTCAGTACTCAGACTCAAAATCTCAAGAGTCTGTAGGGAATTCAGCAGCCCTGCAATGGAATGCCCTCACCTTGGACTCAGCAAGAAATTAAGGGACCTCATCAAAATCACAGAATTAAATGATGGCATGGATCACAAGTCTGCAAAGCGCAAGTCTAGAGTTCATTTTACTACACAACATGACAATAAAACACTGAGCAATGTACATTTTAGAGCTACACAACAAGTCCTGGGGATTTTTTTAAAGATATTTTTCAAGAGAAGAGGAAAAACCCCTGATGTTGGTTTCTCTCCAAGTCTAACCAATTCAATCCCAGACATGTAATGTGTCTCAGACTGCTCTCTCTGTTGGGGCCACGCTCCACAATCTTACTTGTTTAAATCTCGAGGTTGGGTCTACACCTGTCTGCTTCATAGAGTCCATGACAGACTTCATTTCTACAGCCTCCTTAATAAGCTGGTGGTTTTCCATCTGCTTAGCTTTGAAGCTGTCGGCCTGTAGCTGCTGCTGGTGATTGGAGAGAAGCTGCGATTTACCTGTCTCCTCAGTTTTATTAGGCACTGATGGCCCTAATTTAGAATGGTTTTTGTTAGGCTCTGGAGTAGAGGGAGCTTTTGAGATTGTGGCTGATGGCAAGTTTTTCTGCTTACTGTCCTCCTTGCCCAGCTCCTTCAAGGGGAGCTCCGTTTTCCTTTCACAGTCTCCTCTCCCAGTCTGGACCATTTTCTGCTCTGCCAGCCTCTGGTCCTCATAGTACTTCTCATATTGCTGTCTGTAGGCAGGGCTGGTGGCCATCAGAGACTTCTGGTCCATATAGAGTCCATAAGCATACTGGCCATAATAAAGTGACTGAGCCAGGGCCGGGTGTCTTTGTGTGATCACTGACTGGTGCTGAGGCTGCAGGGATGCAGAATTATGGTCCACTTTCTTAGCATCTAACTGCTCTGCCTTGTCTTTCTTCTCTGCATCTTCTTCAGACTCCTTCTTGATCTTCATTCCCTGTGTGTTCCCACTGTTCCCCGTTGCAGGGGCGCCAACCTGTCCTGGGTGCATATAACTTGGAGAATAATAAGGATCATAGCCATGGTAATAGGGAGAATGGGACTCTTTCAGTTGAGACGATTGTGCTGTAGCTGAAGAATGCCCTTTTACAACACCACCATCCTTACTAGAAATGATATCTGATGGGGAACTGGCCTTTGACCTCATGCCCTCTGACCTGCTGTCCGATCCACCATCATCGGCAGCATCGGATATGTCTGAGTAGGCGGGGCTGCTGGTCTTTGCCGCTGAGCTCTCGGCCCCATTCTGGGTCAACACATGCAGTGGTGCCATTGGCGCCTGTCCATTCACCAGAGCGCTGCACTCCATCCTTGAGGCACTCCCAATGGAAGGGCTGGGAGCGTTGTCTGTGAACGTGTAGACCTTATCAGCCTCGGCTTTGATACTGGCCATGCGGCTCTCCTGAGATTCTGACAGTCCATTAGCCAGCCCTTCATTCTTGTTGAGATGGTCCTTTAAAAAATGCCCAGACAAATCTTTGCCAGCCCCCTTGGAGTCCTCCAGTTTCCCCAGCTTAGCATCCATTTTGGGGCTTCCTGACTCTTTTCCTTCTTTGTCCTTTAGCTTTCGCTTCTCCTTTTTCTTTTTGTCCTTGAGTGACACCAGAGCTGGGTTCACGGTGATGGGCTCTCCCATAATGGTGGGCTTTGGTTGGATGGGTTTTAATGGAGGACTCTTTGGTGTGGCCTGGACCACAGTTGTTGTGAGGGAGGGCAGTCCAGGTATTGTCCCCGCGGTGGTAGTCGTAAAGGCTGCAGTAGGTATCGCAATTAGTTGGGGGGGTGTGGGGGCTGGGGCAGGGGCGATGGGCCGGGCACTTTTCAGCTTAGAGAGGTTTTTGTCCATTTTGCAGTTGTTAGCTTTTCTGCCCTTTTCTTTATCGCCCAAACTTTTCTTGTCAATCAGTCCTTCTGCTTCCAGTTTGGGCATCTCTGCAGCCAAACTGCCATCTGCCGCTGAGCAACCCTCTGATGTGGCCGTCATGTTGGAAATTACTGGAAGGTTGTTCAGTTCACTGTTGAGGCCCTTCTTTTTGCCTGAATTCTTTCCTGCCTTCGAACCGATTACAGAACCTGGGCCGTTGCTCATCAACTCTCTCTTTCCCTTGGGGGTTCCAGGGGGGTTTCCAGCACCAGGAGAGGTGGGGGCCTTCACCTGGTCATAAGCTGACACACTTGTGCTTGGCTCGCTGCATTCGATGGCCACGTTACTCAAGGCTTCCTCACAGTCTGAGATCTTGTCCTCACTGTCAGGCTCGAACTCCAGCTTGTTCTCTGGGTCTAAGTGTGCATGAGCCTGGTGGTACCTCAGGCCATTGATGTGCTTGTACTTTTTGTTGCAGTTCGGGTGGGGGCAATCGATTAACACTGGAGAGGAGCAGCCTTGGTCCAAAAAAGTAGTCTCTGGTTTCCCTTGAGGGGTGGTGGGGGTGCTTCTAGAATTTGTGCGGACCCGCTTCCCAGGCTTATTGTCCTCAGAGCTGGAGTTCAGGTCCAGCTCCATTGGAGGCTTGTTTTTCCTTTTGTTGGTAGAAGAAGGACTGGCTTTGATTTCCTCGGCTGCACAATTTGGGGGTGTCCTTCGTCCGCTGGCGTTGAGGCTGCCCCGCCTCCCTTTCCCATTGGCCCCTCCTCTGTTCTTGCTCTGAAGCCCTCTGGACTCGGTGAAGCTGGTCTCGGAGCCAGGGGCCGCCGCGGCAGACCTTGCTCTCTTCCCTCTGCCCCGGCCCCCTCTCATCTCCAGATCACTTGTCGGTGACTCACAAAACCTAGGGAAGCAAGTAACAGTTGTCAAAATGAGCACCCCCAAAAGAACAGTGGAATCACAAGATACAATGTGGCAAAGAGGAGTCAACCTCTCCACAGCTTGTGGGCCACCCCAGGTAAGACTCCTCATTCTTCCAATGATAATTTCAGCACCCCCAAAAGAACAGGCTACCAATCAATGGCTTATATTCCCTGTTCAGAAAATGAAAGAGAAACAGCTCGAGTAGCTAGATTCTAATCCAGTTCAGATTCCCATTTTGAGAAAAGAAGACAAAGCAGAGAGGGAGGGGACAAGGAGTAGAGATCTCCTGAGAGAAAAACTAGCCGTCTGCATTTTACTACGTTCAGTCTTGAATTGCTCATTTCTCTTCTGCCTGTTTTCAATTATAGGCAGATTTTTAAAATTTATTAATCTCTTTCTATAGTTTCCTTGCAAAGAGGAGAGGAAAGGAGAAAAAGAAGAGAAACAAAAGGCCCTGTGCATACCTGGGAGGGGCCCAGTCGTGCTTGGTACAGTCCAGTAGGGTCCCCACGTAAGTTTTGTTCCTCCACGTGACATTGACCACTAGGACACCTGCGGGGGGTGGGGGTGGGGTAAAGGATGAAAAGGGACCACATTTAACACTGATTATTTTATTTCCACTTCATTTATTGTTATTATTTTTATCAGCAAAGTTCTATTTCCATTTGCTTTCAAAAGCTGTGGTTTGCATTCTTCCTCTTTCTGGTTTCAGTGACCTCAAGTTAAAACCCACAGGAAATTGTGTGTGTGTGTGTGTGTGTGTGTGTGTGAATTTGTGCGCGTGTGTGCATATGGTACAAAAGGGTGAGACTGTGTGTGAGAGTGTAATCAAGATACTGCTGACAGAAGGAAATGGTTTTTGCCATGTCCTGCTGTAAAACAGCAACACTCACCTCTTAATTTTTCTATTATTACACATAATTGCTTTCGTTTGGCAAGCAGCCAACATAAACTAAGCGCCAGTTACCAGTGCTTAAACCAGAAGGTGACTGAAAGAAATAGGTTTTGTTTCCAATTCAACAATGTAAAATGATGGTGATTTTTATTAACAAAAAAATTATGCATGTGCATAAAAATAGGTACAGAGGGGAAAGTGGGGGCTCAGAGTCCAGAAAGCAGACAATCAGCCATGTTTCCTCTTCCTTAATCCTTCCCTCTTTGAGTTTGTCAGACAATAATCAGCCTTGGTATGGTATCTGTTTCACTCTTTGGTCTTGTTTCATATTAAGGACTCCTAAAATAGCCCTCTTAAGAAAATAAATGTGCACAATAGATTTGCTCTTGGGGTTATCTTTAGAATCAACTTTGGTAAGCATTTGCCACAGAGGATTAGAAAAGAAATCTCAAAACCAACACACTTGTTTCCTGCAAGCCGTTCTGCTTTTCCCCACTGCTTTGCAGACAGACAATTTAATTTAGCACTGCATCTGTGAATTACTAAACTTAAGTGCACTTAGTATACCAAATGTCACAGGAAACAAAATATAACATCCTCCTGTTTCCCTGGAGGGCAGGTGCCACTTTTTAAAAATCTCTCATTTAAAGCACGTTTTTGGAGGACTTAGATTTTGAGACATAAATAAAATACTACGGTAAATAAATGAAAAATCTAAGTGAACCTTTGTTTTCTTTCTGCATCAACCTCCCGTTCTTTCTTGGAAACACCAGAGGACATTCCTCAAAGTCTGTTTCTAGCTGGTTTGTTCACTTGAGCTACCTCTGACAGTTTGAATTTTACAGAAAACCTGAACTAAGATCCTTTAGGGTAAGAGAAACCTCACAAGGTAAGACTCATTTCCTTGGGAACCTTTAAACAGCGGGTAAATATTTGAATGGTTGGGACTCAAGTAACAGAGAAGGAAGATTTTCTTTCAAAAGTCTCAAAAAAGAGATTTAAAAATTGTTTCCCATATGGTTTAAGTTGCTAGTGCTTATATGACAGCTGAATTTACTCACTGTAAATTCAGTCTATTGTAGCAATAGTCTAGCAGGGGAAAAAAAGCTAGGATGAAGCAAAGCAAGCATTTCCTCAACTCATGGCTGATTCCTTTGTAATTCCCTCAGGAAATTTTTTGAACCATTGAATATAAAAATTTGTATTGCGATGATAATCAGTGGTAATTAGGCATTTGGTCAGAATTTGCACAAGACAGAACAATTGGAGGAAAGGATTCTTTATGAGCACATCCCTTCAGGAAAGGGGAGGGGGTGGGAGAGGAGGCCAAGGGGAAGACTGAGCTGGTTTTCTCATCATCTGCTCTCTGGGGCACTGTGTGTGGTGTCAAAGACCTTTGCAGCTGCTTAAAATTCTTTAGCATGTCAGCTATATTTACAGTGCAGGAATATATCTGTATTGCCAGAAGGTTACTGCATTTTAGCTTTAGATGCAATAGGCTGAATCACTGCGTTCCAGAGTCCCTGATGTAGCACAAATGTATAATTAAAACTGCTTGAAAGGAAACATGAAAGAAACAACAAACCCTCCATTCTTGCAGTAATAAAATTAAAAACAGGAAAAGTCTGCACAGACACTTAACATTTGTCTGCAGTGAAAGGCTTTTGTTATTGCTTTTCCCCTAAGGGTTTCGCGTTTCCAGCAAAAGCTGGCCGCGGATTGGCCAGCGCCCGCTGCGAACGCTCGCGTCTGATTGGCTGGGCCGAGGGCGGCCGGCGAAGCACTCGAGGCAGCGGCCGGAGAGAAAGGAGCCGCGCGGGTGGGAGGATGCTGCCCCAGGGCCGGGCCGGCGCGCGGAGCGAGGGCCAGTGCGCCCGGCGACCGGAGGGCTGTCCGCGATGCCCGGCCCCCTCCGTCCGCGCGGGCTCGTCTACGCTAACCAGGACCGTCCGTTGGAAGAAGGCTGCGATCCGCGCGGAGGTGCCGCGTTTCCGCTCCATCACGTACGCCCCGCGGCTCAGCACAACATGCCAACCCAACTCAGATCCGAATTCGCGGTCCCAAAACCGGATCAGGGGGAAAGGGAGGCCAGAGACGAGTAGGGGACCCAAAGCAATCTATCAGTCTCGGGGCTACAGGTTGAAACTGTCACAAAGGCTGAACTGCAGTTGCAGTATCCACATAAACTATTCCCAGCTGCTACTCTCTAGAAGCCACACAAGCAGACTTCTTATCTAAGTACCAGGTGATGTTATTTGCTGTTGGTGATGGTGTTCAGCAGGTAAAGAAAAACCCATTTTCAACTTAAATAAGTCACCCTTTATTTTTCCAGAAGCACATACAATGCTTAAGACAAATCCATCACTCCCAGGGAGATTTTGAAAGGTTTCCATCAAGCACTGCTAATTAGATACATGGGCTTGTGTCTATCTTTACATGTACAAGCCATTCACAATGCCACAGAATTTAAATCTGCCTAGAATCCACGTAGGAATATATACATGCAAATGTTAACAAAACTGCCCCTCTGTGTTGGATTGAAGGCTTAAGGAATGTTCCTCATATAAACTACTGTACTACAATATAAACAGTGCACTGCTTCTTTGTAAGAAGGTCTATGTTTAGACAACATCCCATTATGAAGAGCCAAGAATAAAAGTGGTGTTTTAGCTCTAAAACATGTAAACAGTTTATGATTTTTGCTGAAATCTCAAATCTGGAATATTACAAAATATAAAAAAATATAAAGCAGACTATACATACTAAGGACATAAATGTTCTAAATGAAAATTAGTCCTCAAAGTATAAAACCAACTTTTAGAAATATGGGCATAAAGATGTGTAAATTGGAAATAAATTTACATTTATTCCCCCAAAGATTTGCTGTTTTCTTTCAAACATTAGCCTATGAGCTAGGTGCTAGGGATGYTCTATACAAGTCCTTTACATCTTTATATTCTCAGAAATCTCAAAGGTTTATTATCTTCCCCTATCTACCACAGACTAGGCATGGTCTTTCTCAAAGAGTTAATGATTGCCTTGTAACATTTTTTTATATTTGAAAAATACCCAAACCTTATTACTAGCAGAGTAAAAAGACAGCAGAAACATACAAAGGATGTTTGAGAGAATGCTCACCACACCTTTTCTTCTCTGTAGTGTTGATACTTTGGTTCAGATACTGAAGCAGAATCTGAGATGCTGCTCCCGAAAGCATATTACCTACAAGGCACCTAATATGAACATGGTATTTATTATATAGCACAAGTCCCTTATCTCTATAAGCCAAAACAGCCCTGAGACCTCATAAGGATTCCAGTGTTCTATTTCGTCAGTCAAGAGATCTCAGGAAGATAGGCCCATCAAATGTTTATTCTGTTTATGGGCTATACATTAGGTGCTACTGAATTGATACAGTTTGGCTGGAAATCTTTTAAACTGCATGAAGAGTTTGAAATCTTAGAACCAACACAGGCTGGTTCTGTAATACCCACATTTACAGAGTAGGCCCTTTTTATGGCCTCACATTAGACAGGGCCCTGGGTGTGGTATTATTGGGTGCCCACCTTGCCCTCAGTCCCTGCTCAGAAGATAGTCTTAAGTGACCAGCCTCTCAGATCTGGCCCTCTGCTTCAGATGCCCACTGGACTAGAACAGTCCAAGGCATCTAAAACAGAGGCAGTCAAACAGATTTATGCTGAGAAGCGGAATACGGAAGTTCTGGAGAGTTGGTACTGTGAGAAGGCCTAAAGGTTATAAAGTAACTAAAAGGCTAAAAGGACCATATGGGCCAAAGCTGCAAGGATGCAATAGCTATGAGGCAAGGAAGCAAACTGCTGGTGAATGCCCTCAATGCTTTTGTATGTCCCTCTTCCTCTGGTCTCATCACTGATGAGGATTTTACCAGCAATCACCCAGGACCACCTAGTTAATTTCCAGCCATTTTATTAAAAATTTGTTCCTTGTCTTAACCTAAAATCTGTCTTTGAATACCTTGATCTTGGCTGTGCCTTCTGATACCCTGCAGAAGCAGTCTACCCCTCCACGACCTGCCAGCATTTCATCMGGGCAAGGACAAAACCATGCTGGTATTCTCTCCCTTCCAGTTCACCTCTCTTTTTGTCCCTCCAGCCCAGACAAATTTCTTCAACCATTCTGCACCTCCCACTTTTAACTCCCCTGAAGGAAACCTTAAAATAAGGGGTCTTAGTCACAATCCTTAAGGAAGGTTAAATTTCCTTAAGGACCAAACAGTGACAAATTTAGTATTATCTCTTATATTAATCCTTTCCTTCTTCGTACACATAAAATGCCATCACCCCCAAATAATCATTCTCTCCTGGGTTCTAAGCTGGACTCCATACACAGCTTTCCCTGATGGATGCTCACCAGAATGCATATTTCCCTCCCCTTTCTGAGTCCACAGCTGGACCTGGCCTCCCTACCAGTGGCCATATAACTGCATTCTATCAAAAAAAAAAAAATGACTAAAGGGGTGTGGGTCACATCCAGGACAGGCCCATAAGAGCCTCCCATACATATTCTTCTGGTCTCCTCCCCTTTCTGGTAAAGATAGAAATGACTATAGTAACCCTGAAGGTCACAAGTTGAAACTGGCATATTATTCTACATCTGGGCTCCTGAATGAAGAGAACTC